TTTTTTTGCGTTGGCTGGTATCGATGGATGAACTGGGATGTTTGGTTTTGATTGTTTTAATAGAAAATCGATGGGGGGTTTTGGTGTGTATTTGGGTTTGATTTTTCACAGGAAGGGAAGAGGAAGAACACGAATGTGAACTGCTCTTTTGGCTGCCTGTCGTATGAACAACACCTCCATTTGGAGGTGTTCTTGGCTGGAATTCCAAATAGGGAAAGGAAAGAGTGAAGAGTAATCTTAGTGTAATTGTTCGTGAAATTTATTATTGATCATTTGGTATTTGAATCTTAATTCTTAGCTGTAAATTGAGGAGTGTTGGCCTTATGGTGTGTTCTTGTAGGGGATTCTTTTCGCACCCGAAAAACGCTTTGAAAACCATGATATGACCATTTAATCGATCACATCACCTTTTCATTTTGATTCAAATTGATTATTCTTACATTTTCAAATCTTCTACCTTTAATTTACTATAATTACAAAACTGGTCCTTTACAATTTAGTTTAATATTTAACCAATTCAAAATTTGTTGTTTCTTATTTTTTATTTTTTGTAAATAGAAAATTAATCTTATAATTACAAAACTATCCTTTACAATTTAGTTTATTATTTAACCAATTCAAAATTTGCTGTTTCATATTTTCAATTTCTTTAATTTATTTATTATAATTACAAAATTAATCTTTTATAATATTAGTTAATATTGTTTTATTTTATTACCATTGACCTAATATATTAAAAGTAGATTACATGAACCATTCTTATGGTTTGAAATAATTAATTTATATGATTAATTATAACTTTTTATTTATTTATTTTATTTTATTTTTAAATTTAGATAGTCTTTTAAACTTTAATTTGTTAGATATTTCACTGCTAACATACATATAAAAAAAATTCCCTTATTCATTTATTTTTTATTATTTATTATTTTTTATATTCTTTATTTTGTTAATTTATTTATGGAGACCCATTGATTTTAGGGAAATTGAGTACTCTAACCATAATAACCATTATTTTTTATCTTTTTAAAATTTGACAACCCATTCCGGAGTCGAGTCCGACAGAGTAACATATACATGTAACATTCGTAAAATTCTTGAAAATTTTAAACTTTTAAAATAAAACTCAAACCATCATTGTTTACAAATTGTTTTCAAAATAAGTTTCACATCAGAGAAATCCCAAAATTGTAAAAACAAATATTAGGAGGTGCACGATCACGTCTTTGCCTTCCCGCGATCCTCTGAAGTACCTGAAACATAATCCAAAACTGCAAGCTCAAAGCTTAGTGAGTTCCCCCAAAATATCGATACATAACAAATAGCACAAAATATAATAACAACATGCAATGGGTCCACAGCTTAACAGACTGGATTACCACTGAGCCCACTTCATAAGTCTGGCTTACCCTTGGCCCACAACTTATGTCTGGCTTGCTCCCCAGCCTGATCAGTCATTGGACTGAATACCGCTAAGCCCTCAGTACGAGTCTCACATGCCATTCCCGACCCTCAGCGTATCTGAAATGCTCATGAGTCCTCAGTATGAGTATGTCATGCCCTTCCCGACCCTCATCTTGATCTTAAAT